TCAAGTAACGGATTCTAGCCAATTGAAAGGATCTTCTGATCAATCCAGAGATCATTTCGATTCCATTAGTAATGAGGATTCGGAATATCACACATTGATCAATCAAAGAGAGATTCAACAACTAAAAGAAAGATCGATTCTTTGGGATCCTTCCTTTCTTCAAACGGAACGAACAGAGATAGAATCAGACCGATTCCCTAAATGCTTTTCTGGATATTCCTCAATGTCCCGGCTATTCACGGAACGTGAGAAGCAGATGAATAATCATCCGCTTCCGGAAGAAATCGAAGAATTTCTCGGGAATCCTACAAGATCCATTCATTCTTTTTTCTCTGACAGATGGTCGAACTTCATATGGGTTTGAATCCTATTGAGAGGTTCACTAGAGATCAGAAATTGTTGGAGAAAGAACAAGATGTTTCTTTTGTCCCTTCCAGGTGATCGAAAAATAAAGAAATAGTTAATATATTCAAGATAATTACGTATTTACAAAATACCGTCTCAATTCATCCTATTTCATCAGATCCGGGATGTGATATGGTTCCGAAGGATGAACTGTCTAAAAAATCTTTCTAACTTCTTTTTTTCTTCTAGAGCTGAAATATATCTCTATCAATGGTTATTCTTGACGGAGGGTCAACTTAGGACATGCAATACTATAAAAAAAATTTGAAACCGTCATTCTCTACAAATTTAAATGATAGTTCATCCATAATTATTATCTTGGCACATGCTGCTCTACATCTTGTTTGACTAAATAATGAAGTAACAATATTACTACCACCCTTTCCATCTATTGAACGTTGAAAATTTAGACTGGTTTGTCCTTTGTCCTCCATCTTATATGTGTACTTTCTACACTGATTTTTTAAGTGCTTCCATAAGGTGCTAGTTCCATAAGAATTAGTATCACAAGCATACTCCTTAGCACAATAGTTGCACTTGCACTTCTTATTATTTGTCGCCATTCTTTCTTTTCTGGGAGTTTTGTGGCCTAAAAGTTCCTAAAACCACAAATCTAAGAACGATTAGGAAAACCCAATTTTTCGACCTCGGTTACTGACGACGGCGCTTAGAAAAAGTACAAAACCTACCTTGAGTTATTGTGCTTTCGTTAGGGATCCTTCTCGTGGTGGTAACTGATCGTTTGGTGTCGGTTTTCTGGTGGTTTGGGGCTCGTCGGAGAAGCTGAAAACTCACCGATGTTTATCCGTAATCTCTCTCTCTCTCGTATTTTCTTTCTTTTCTCTATTTTCAGGATTCTGATAGGTGCTGGGAGTCGTGGGCTGAAGGCTGGGCGAGGTGTGGCCGTCGTTTCGCGAGGGGTTCGCGAAACTCGGCGGTCGCCAGAAAACTCGCGAGTTTTCCAGCGACTGAGTTTTTTTTCTTTTTCTTTTTCTTTTTCTTTTTTTTTTCTTTTTCTTTCTCGAGTCGTTACATTATCTACCCCTGAAAAGAACGTTCGTCCTCGAAAGTCTCAAACGCTTGTACCAACTCGGGGTATTTTTCTCTTATTTTGGCCTCACGCTCCCACGTGGCTTCCTCACTGTGGTGATTCTGCCACAGTACCTTAACGAACGCAATGCTCCTATTGCGTAAGGTTTTTACTTCTCTAGCTAAGATTCTTATTGGTTTTTCCTCGTAGCTCAGATCTTCATTGAGTTGGAGTGGTTCGTAGTCTATTACGTGGATAGGGTCCGTAATGTACTTTCTCAACATCGACACGTGTAATACATCATGTACTCCTGAGAGGGCTGGAGGTAGGGCTAACTTATACGCTATTGGACCAACTCGCTCTAGGATCTCGAATGGTCCAATGAATTTAGAACTTAACTTGCCCTTACGTCTGAATCTTAACATACCTATCATAGGTGCCACCTTGAGGTATACTAGGTCCCCTATCTCAAACTCCAGGCTTTGACGCCTTACATCGGTGTAGCTTTTCTGTCTACTTTGAGCGGTACACATCCTCGCTCGAATTTTCTGGACAGCCTCATTGGTGAGTCGAACCAGCTTGGGTCCTACTAACTCTCTCTCTCCTACTTCGTCCCAACATAGTGGGGACCTACACCGTTTCCTGTACAGAGCCTCAAACAGTGTCATTCCAATAGTTGCTTAGAAGCTATTGTTATACGAGAATTCCATCAGGTGGAGTTTGAAATCCCAACTTCCCTTAAAATCTAGTATGCAAGCGCGTAAAATGTTCTCTAGAATTTGGTTTAAACGCTCCGTTTATCCATCTTTTTGGGGATGAAAGACGGTACTAAAGTCGAGGCGGGTACCCAATGCTTTTTGAAGTCCGCGCCAAAACGCTGACGTAAAGTGTGGATCCCGATCCGACACTATAGACACTGGGACTCCATTTAGTCTTACTATTTCTTTCACATACAGTTGTGCCCAATTGTCAACTGTATATGTAGCTTCCCCAGGTAGAAAGTGTGCCGATTTGGTCAACCTATTGACAAGTACCCAGATCATTGTATAGCCTCTGGACATTTTCGGTAAACCTATTATGAAGTCATCGCTATGTTTTCCCACTTCCACTTTGGTATGCTTAGGGGCTACAACAACCCTGCCGCCTTTTGTCTTGGAGCTTTCACTTGTTGACAAACTAAGCACTTGCTCACAAACTCGACCACATCCCTCTTCATGCTCTTCCACCAAAAGTGTTGTTTTAAATCTTGGTACATCTTAGTACCTCCTGGATGCATGGAAAATGGCGAGTTGTGAGCTTCCGTCAGTATCTCTTTCCTTAAATCTTCTATTGCTGGAACACATAAGCGTTCCTGATGCAATAGTTCTTCATCTGATGACTTCGAGAATCCATCTACTGGACTTTCGTCTAGCTATCCTAGAACTTTCTGTAGGTTAGGATCCTCTCGTTGGGAGGTAATAATTCTCTGCCTAAGTGTAGGTTATACCGTGAGTCGGGCCAGCTGTGTTATGACTCCCTCGATCACTACAGCTATGTTGACTGGCTTGAACTCTCTTTGTACCCTTACTTTCCTCGTAGTGAGGGCCGACGAGTGGACCGTCTTCCTACTCAAGGCATCTGCGATCACGTTTGCATTTCCAAGGTGGTACTGGATATCTACATCATAATTCTTCACCAATTCTAACAACCTTCTCTGCCTCATATTTAACTCTTTCTGGGTGAAGAAGTATTTCAAACTTTTGTAGTCGGTAAAAATTTGGGTTTTCTCTCCATACAGGTAATGTCGCTAGATTTTCAGCGCGAACACTACAGCGGCCAACTGTAAGTCGTGGGTAGGGTAGTTCTTTTCATATTCCTTAAGTTGACGAGATGCGTATACGACAACCTTGCCGTGTTGCATTAATACACATCCCAGTCCTTTCATGGAGACATCACTATAGATCACATACCCTTCTGAGCTTTCGAGTACTATGAGTACCAGGGCGGTTACTGATCTCTCTTTTAGGTTCTTGAAGCTTGCCTCACAATCATCATCCCATCTAAATGGTACCCTTTTTTTTTGTTAACGTTGTTAAAGGCGAGGATATTCTAGCGAAGTCATGCACGAACCTTCGATAGTATCCCGTCAATCCTAGGAAACTCCTTACTTTCGTTACCGTAGTTGGGCGTTCCCACTTTGTGAACGCTTCGACCTTGGTGGGATCTATAGATATTCCGTCCTTTGACACCACTGTCCTAGGAAAGAGACTTGTTGTAACCAAAATTCCCATTTGGAGAACTTGGCGTACAACTTGTGCTCTCTTAGGGTGGTTAGGACTTTTCAAAGGTGTTCCTCGTGTTCTAGGTCTGTTTTCAAGTATATAAGGATGTCGTCAATGAATACGATCATGAACATGTCTAGACATTCCTTGAATACCCGGTTCATTAATTCCATAAACACAGCTGGGGCATTGGTGAGGCCAAGTGACATCACTACGAACTCGTAGTGACAGTACCTTGTCCTAAATGCTATTTTGGTACGTCTTTTTCATTAATCCTAATTTGGTGGTACCCAGACCAAAGATCTATCTTGGAGAATACAGTTGCCTCTCTCAGTTGATCAAACAAGTCTTCTATTCTAGGCATAGGATATTTGTTTTTTATGGTTCTCTTATTTAGCTCTCTGTAATAGATGCACAGACGCATTGATCCATATTTCTTCTTAACAAACAACACTGGCGCACCCCAGGGGGACACGCTAGGTCGAATGAATTCTTTATCTAGTAAGTCTTGCAATTGCGCCTTAAGTTCCTTCAACTCTGCTGGCACCATGTGATAGGGTGCTTTGGAAATAGGCCTAGTTCCCAGCTCGAGTTCGATGACGAAGTCGACCGCTCGAAAAGGGGGTATTCCAGGTAAGTCGTCCGAAAATACATCCGGGAACTCGTTTACTATTGGCACATTTACTAGGGTCTTTTCCTTTCCTCTTACATCTACAGTACATGCTAATATAGCCCATCTGCCTTGTTGGACTAACCTCTTTGCTTTCATCATCGAGACTACCTTGGGGGTAATCCCGATACTTGTGCCTTTAAATTTAAAGGTAGGTCCTATCGGTGGTGAAAATTTTACTTCCTTTTTGCGATAGTCTATACTGGCTCGGTTTTCAGCTAGCCAATCCATGCCTAGTATGACGTCAAAATCCGTCATGTTTACCACCATCAGGTCAACGCTTAAAGTTTGGTTCCCTATGATTACTTGGTCATCTTTTACTCTATCCCTAGATACTAAGTCTACCCCCGTAGGGGTGCTTACAGACATTTCATGCAATAAGAGTTCTAATTCAACCCTGCTTGTACAACAAAAGGCATGGAAATAATGAAATGTGTGGAACCAGAATCAAATAAGGTAAAAGCGAAATGACCTAAAATGGATAGTGTACCTGTCACCACGTCGTCGGACCTCCCAGTGTCCTTGCTCGTTGACGCGTAGGCTCTAGCTTGAGCTCGCGGTGGTGCTAGTTGTTCTGTTTACTCTACTACTCTGGGCAGGTTTGCTTGTGCTGCAACGTTTTCGACCGTGCGGTTCACGGCGATGTGCCCCTCTTGACCACATCTATAACATGCTCGGCTGCCAGCCTGCACCTCCCACCGTGTAGTCTTCCACAGATAGTGCACCCTTCCTCTCTCCTCCCTCTGGCCCCATCTTGATTCCTGGGGTTCCTATCAGTACGTCGGGGAGGGTGTCGCTCATTCCATCTAGGAGCGGATATGTTATTGAAACGGTGCCTATGTGCTGGTGGTGGACGGTCAGAGCCTCCTGATTCATGTGGAAGCTTCTGCCCAATTACTACCGGCTCCTCACATCGTTTCTCATCCTTTGGTTTCTCTAAAGCCTTGGCAGTTCTCAAGGCTTCCTCATAGGTCTCTGGGTTGAACGCCTCCAACATGCGGCGGATTCTTGGTTTCAGACCCAATACAAACTTCTCTGTCATCTTTTCCTCAGTGTCCACCATGGACGGCGCAAATATCGTGAGTCTCTTAAACTCTCGGTTGTACTTCTGTACTGTGAGTCCGCCCTGTACCAAGTCGGTGAACTCCTGTTGTCTTTTAAGTCGCTCTGATTTTGGATAATATTCTTTAAGGAAGGCCTCCTTAAACCGTTCCCAATTCATAAGCCCCCCTTCTAGGTTAAGAAGGGTTTTGTTATCTCTCCACCATATCTCTGCGTCCTTTTGTAGGATGAATGTTGCACAGACGACCTTTTGGTTCTCTGGGCACTCCATAGTCTCAAAGGTGGTTTCTACCGCTGCAATCCACATTTGGGCTTCTATGGGGGTCTACTAAGGAACCAGTGAATGATCGAGGGTCATATCTCTTGAAATCCCTTATCCAGTTTGAACATCTAATAGGTTGTGGAGGGTTTGCTGGGGTGTTGGCCAGTGCCAGTGCCTGTGCTTGGACTTGTGCTGGGCCTGTTCCTGAGCCTGTTGTAAATTGGCTTGCTGAGTGGTTACCAAGGTTTGAATTAGGGCTTGGATGGAGTCACACATTAACTTAGTGTTAGCATCTACTCCAGCCGCCGGGGGTGCAGCTTCAGGTGCGGCTTGGAGTGGTAGGGCAGGCTGGGGTGGATGTTCAGCTTGTGGTGGAGGCTCAGCTTGTGGTGGAGGCCCAGCTTGTAGTGGAGGCCCAGCTTGAGGTGGTAGCTCAATTGGTGGTAAGATTGGGGGCTGCGTAACTGTTACCGACCCAATTTCTAATCTTTCTCGAGGTGGGCCCTCTACTGCCACACCTTGTCCTATTTCTCTATGACGAGGTTGCCCCCATCCTCGTCTTCTTCTTCCCCTTCCTCTTCTTCGTCCTCTGGGCATGATTCTATAAACATATATAAGGTTGCTTAAGTCTAAGACCTTAATACTATGCATATATAAATAACAATAAACACAATATACAATACATCGTAACGCCACAGAAGTAAACACTCATAATGCTATACATCATATCATGCTCATTGATAATTACTTAAAATACCCTAAAAATTTCAGTAACATCCACATCATGAGATTATGCTAAACATCACATATACTAAGTTCACATCATACTCCAAACACAATTACTAAACATGCCACACGTCACATCGTACTTCTTAAATAAATACGTGAAATATCACAACAATTTCAGTGATATTAAGATAAAAATGCATGCGGGTTTTAAAATATTTCTCTTTTCGTATATTATGCAAAGCGTACCTCACGGTGACGGGGCATCGACGTTGGGACCATGGAGCGTGCCAAGCCTACATCGTAGGCTAGTCTACATAATCTAAAACCTAGAGCTCTGATACCAACTGTAACGACCCTAAATTTCCACATATCTAAAATCGCCACTAATGTCTCATGCTCATCTCTAATGCAGAATATAACTCTAAGAATGCTCATCTTTATTAACGGAAAAATTTTAAACTTCAAAATACGTTAAAACATTAGAAAACACTGCTGGACTTACGTGTTTCAAACATCATACTTGAGTTCAAAATAAGATAAAAAAAAAACAATTACAAATTAAATAATTTAAATAAATAAAATGTAAGCACCCTATCCTAACCAAGTTTAGGAATTTTAAATATGCAACTATCCTATGCATGCGCCACAGTCTCTAATCACGATACCACCGTCAACCGTACATGGGCGCCTTACCTTGCCTTTACCTGAAAAATAATATGGCACACGGCCAGTAAGTGACCCCACTATAGGGGCCATGCTAGTGCAAACACATGCAATCATGAATTAGGGACCTATCTGCAATCATCTTAAGGGTGACCTCCAGTCTCGGACAAATTGGATGTGTAGTACTTCCCTATACACGACTCACACGTGTGAGTGTGAATCTCCAGGGCGCTCGCACACCCCTTGGATCCTCTGGTCAAGCTAATCTATAGCAACGTCCGGAGGTCAGCGAAACCCCATAGTGTCATGCACCTCATGAACACCCTCATCTGTGTGCTTTCGCACCTGTGCGCATTCGCGCTCATCATATGGTGCGCGTCCGCACTCATCATCTCTAGGGGAAGTATCCCTATGCTTATGAACATACAATATGCATGAGGTCCCTCTGAGTCCAATTATACATCTCTTCTGACACAACCCTCTAGTCTCATCTCTTGGTTACACTTTGTAACCTGTGCTCGTAGATATTTACATTAATATCATTTTCTTACTCTTAGGGTTGTGTCCTATATCGATCTAACGACATGATGCAATATGGAAAACAACATCATAAGGCATGTTCAACATGGAAAATATCATCATGTTAATAACATCGTCATGCATACATCATACTCATCATAGAAGCCATTAAGTGCATCAACTATAACATGTACGTCATGCATCGAAACATAAATAACGTACATTTAACAAACATCACAACACAACGTCATACTCACACATCATCATAATTCAAACAATCTTTGGCCTATCCTATAGTAAGACCACTTACTTGGTTGGCCTTGGTCGAAGTACTCCCTAAATAGCTAAATGTAAGCTCCCGTTTCGTGAGAGCTACTTCCTACATTGCCGGGGTTTGTTTCCTATCACACCGTTCGCCACTTTTCGTTAGTATTTCACAATTAATTTACTAATAATTCAATAAATGTGAAATACGGCTCTAAAACGGCCTCAGATACCTTAATTGGGGCCAAAAACAGATCCGGGAGGGTCGGAACAGTGGAACTCAGGCTAAAAATAGGTGAGCCAAGCCGAACAGCCGCTGGGAGCCGCCGGAGCGTCACCGGAGGGAGCCCGAGCCGTTTGCACCGAGCTGAGCTGAGGGACCGCCTGCGCCGCTGTGTGATACGTGGCAGCAGTAGAGCGAGCCACGTCATGCAGTAGCGTCGGGTCGAAGCGCGGGTCGCAGTCCGATTCGGGTCGCGAGCTGCAGAAGGCTACTGGGCCAAGACTAATCGTTGGGCCTCAGCTTACTGGGCTGGGCCGCAAGTGTTTGGGTTGCAGGCCGGCTTGATTGGACCATGGGTCTGGTCTCGGGTTGGTTCAACTGAATCGTAGCTTCTGGGCTGGTTTAAGGTTTGGGCCATTGTAGTTGGGCTGGGCCGAAGGTAGAGGCCGAGGGAAAGAATGGGCTGGCTCACCTGAATCCGTGGATCTCGTCTTCCTTACTCGACTTCGGCCGATTTTCTGGTGAGTTTTCTATCTCCTTCACGCGGCATTTCCATTGTCGATTTCGATTCTCTTTCTTCTTTTTCCTTCTTATTTGTCGTTCTTCTTTCTTTTCTGGGAGTTTTGCGACCTAAAACCACAAATCTAAGAACGATTAGGAAAACCCAATTTTTCCGACTTTAGTTACCAACGATGGCGCTTACGAAAAAGCACAAAACATACCTTGAGTTATTGTGCTTTCGTTAGGGATCCTTCTCGTGGTGGTAACTGATCGTTTGGTGTCGGTTTTCGGGTGGTTTAGGGCTCGTCAGAGAAACTAGAAACTCGCCAATGTTTATCCGCAATCTCTCTCTCGTATTTTCTTTCTTTTCTCTATTTTCAGGCATTCTGATAGTTGCTGGGAGTCGTGGGCTGAAGGCTGGGCAAGGTGTGGCCGTCGTTTCGCGTGGGGTCTGCGAAACTCAACCGTCGCCAGAAAACTCGCGAGTTTTCCGACGACTGAATTTTTTTCTTTCCTAGGTCGTTATAGGGAGAGGAATGAATGAATGGATTGCAGAGAGGTAGAGAGAGGAATGAATTGCAGAGAGGTAGAGAGAGGAATGGATTGTAAGAGGTAGGGAGAGTAGAATGAATTGCAGAGAGGTAGGGAGAGGAATGGATTTAGAGCAGTGCAGTAGGGAGATGAATGAATTTAGTAGGGAGAGGAATGAATTTAGTGGAGAGAGGAATGGATTTAGCGGAGAGAATAGATGAATTTGTGTAGAAATTTAAAATAACAGCCATTTCCCAAGAGAGCAGAGCGAGGGTGCCTACTGCCAACGACTCAGAGCACATAGCAGGGAGGGAGAGAGAATTTTCTTTCACTAATGAAGTAAGTATTGGGTTTTGAAATGTCAGGTTTGGGCTTGGGCTTGGGCTTGGGCTTGGGCTTGGGCTTGGGCTTGGGCTTGGGCTTGGGTTTGGGCTTTGGTTAGAGACTAGACAAAGTGTAGATTGGGCTTTGACTTTGGGCCTTTGGGCTTTAATTTCTTTTTTTTTTTTAATATTTTCGGGTTGGGCCGGGTTGACCCAATCATTTTCTTTTTGTACCCGAACCCAACCCAAATCAGATCGGGTTAAAAAAATGGACCCAACCCAAACCCAAACCTTATATTTCGGGTTGGGTCTGTTTGGGTTCTCGGGTTTTCGGGTTGGGTGTACACCCCTAGAGCTGACAAAGAACGGTAACAGGTAATAAACTCCCGGGAAGCCAAGTTGGTTTTCCTTCTTTTATTTATGCACTTATACTAATTTTTAAATAGTTATCTTCACATACCTTAATGATAGTTTTTTTTAGATTTTATTTTACTTTTTATCATGAATGACTCGCATGCCCCAACGAAGTAGCCAATTTTTGGAGATGAATTATGAGGATTCCGATGCAGTTAAAAAGGCTAATTTCAACGTACTAAGGAGGCTAATTACACTTGATACATACTAGGTTGTGATTAATGACAAAGTTATTCTCTTTCGGTATATGCTGCCATAGAGTACCGTGTTCTCCCTCATTTGCATGAATTTGATCTAATTGTTGTGCACTTTCTCACGAAACCTCAAGTTAAAGCACCCATACAAAAGATGACAACAATCTGCTGTCAAACAAAAAAAAGGAAAAATTGACAACGGTCAAACAAAAAAAAAAAACAAATGGCATCAATCTGCTGTAAAACAAAAAGAGAAAAAAATACAACAATTTAATTGAAAAAAAACTTAGGTCCCCTTGTTGTTATAAAAAAAGTACAGCCAGCTATTAAAAAAATATATATATTACAGCAGCATGCTATCATAAAAAAAAGGAGAGAAGCATGTTGTTTAAAAAAAAATAATTAATTTTGAATTAGGGACTAAAGCCATCCTCGGAGAAAAAGTAAGAATTGATTAAAAGATAGGATAAAACTAATTGTTAAGAAGAAAACAAACAGGGAGGGAAGATTGTGGATATAATTAAAAGTAGGGGACCAAGTGAGGGACGGCGAGGAAAGATTGTAAATATAATTGAAATTATCTGGAAAATGTTAATGGTATTAAACAGAGAAAATAGAATATCTGGAAAATGTCAATGAGTACTAAAT